TATTTCTCAACTGGTGATCGCTAAGGTGTCGGAGGTCACTTTAAACATACTGAATCGTATCTGCCCTTTTACAACCTTGATACAGTTGAGAGAACCTCATTTAGTAAGCTTTTAAAAGCTTGTTTCCAAAACCATATGTTTATATATATGTATGTAATATTTGTAATTCTTGAATATATATTGTTTAAAAAAAAACATATGCATATGGCAGACGTTAGGTACTCGTGGTCGAAGGGAAATAATCATCAACTATTTTCAATCTGTAGTAACAATGCAAGTTCATTTACACTGTATTAAAGAGTTGGGTACAAAGTCCAATAGGTTTTAAGTTTATTTCATTTTTGAATACGTCTCTATTCATAATTTTATTAGTATTTTTATTAAAATTTAATAAAAATTGGTTTAAAAACTCTAGGGCGTTCACAGGTAAAATGTGAGCGTATGACGTAAAAAATTTTATTTTCAATATCAAATAGTTTGTAATGCTTGATCTGTTATCAATGTTGTATAACACGCTTAACACCTATTAATCAACTTCACACTATTATTATTCAAAAATAAAACCAGAAAATTTAGATTTTTTAAAAATTTAATCAAAATTAATTAATTGAATTTTAATAGCAAACCACCCATGTCACATAGAGAAAATTAAGTACATCCTAATTATGAAAACCATATTGATATTGGGTAAATACTTTTGATGTAAGGATCAGATTTGAAAATTTTCTTTTTTTTTTTCAAAAAATATTCATTCATTGTTGTAATATATCATCAAAAAGAGAATGATAAGGCCATTAATAATATGCAAAAATCAAGCTCTGTGCTTGTTAGAGAATGTATCAAAGCTGTCCAAATAACACCATATCTATAGTATCACCCCAGACAATGCCCAAGCAGGGCCTTGAAGGTGACAATACGTGTCCATTTACACGCTGTTTTGAAATAATGATAACCAAATGAATAGGAAATAGGTATGTACGTAGCAAAGTCAAGGGTAGGGAAAGAGATTGACTCGAGATCTTTGAGAATCGAAGATGATGTAGCAAGTAAATCCAACTTGAAGTTTATATCAGCATCCTGTCATGTGGTTCCCTACTTCCGGTTTTGAGTCTCTGCGTATTTCTACATCTGGGATCATATCTTTAATGATCACGTGATATTGAAGGAAAGCTTTTGTGCCGTTATAACCCCTCTGAAATAGATTAAAAAAGAAACATTCATTATAGACTCGACCAACAAGGGTAAACAAGCGCAAACAGTATCCTGGTCATTCTTGATTGTTCTTTGCCCTAAATATGTAGGATAACACGAACGTGACGTGACGTGTCACTTACAGGATTGTGCTGTACAAAGGGACACAATCCAAGAATGAACAGCAGTATTTTTTGCCGCCTGGATGGGAATATAATGTGTACAATAGCAGTTGTCCAAGCGTTTAATATAGTTTCTTTTATTTTTGTGCACCAAAGCGTCATATTTATATTTGATGTAAAAAAAAATACTTGTACCTCTTCAATAAATTTCTTATCGGCATAAACCATATTATCGAAATCTACAGTTTCTATATGTCCAGTGTTGATTCCTACAGTTCGTTGATAATCTCCATGCTGCAAAATATATAAATATAATGTCACTCTTTTACAAGACCCGATGTCTGGTGGCGACGCCAGCCATCTGGAACTGGAGGTAGAAATGGGCAGCAGAAAATACGTAATTTCCATACATGGAAATAATACTGTAATAATAGTTTGGTATTTGGGCAGACTGACTCACTTGCATGACAAATGTTCCAAATCTATAAGCACTGGAGAAGTACCATAGACACTACCCTCGCTCATAAATTTGGCTTAATGTATCACCAAATCTAACAAGTATATACTCACGTTTGCATGGACGCGTTTTAAATTGAGTAAAATGGTATTTTGAACTCGTTCAACGAAGGAAGAAAAACCGGAGATTTCTTGACGACTGTAACCTTGGAAGGTATCCAACATACAAATTCCAGTTCTCTGGATAAATTCCATAAGTTCGTCGAAATCTACCTAAATTATAGATCGACAAAATATCGAAATTAAATTTTAGAATCGGTAACAAATGTAACATTACTGAACCAAAAGTCAAAATAAAGCAATAAATGCATAAGTAAGTGTGATCATTATCCCCTTAAGGCTCTACAGACTATATATTCAGTGTCACCCAAGAAGAAATCAACGATTCATGACCGAGACATTTTCAGCTTTACCGAAACTGCCGAGGATGTCGATTGCTCAGTAAGACAAAGAAATAGCTTGCCAGGCAAGATATAATACGCCCCCTGACGGCTTTGATTTTAAATAAAAAATATTTGGCAGTACAGTAACAATTACCAGTATGGAACTCTTTTGGGGCGATACTACATAATATTACCAAGTTTCATCAAAATCTGTCAAGAACTGTGCCTTCTAGAGTGTTTACAGGCTAAAACATGGACGCGTTTTCAAGAACAAGCGCAATAACTCAAACTATATTTCGATTTTTCTGATTTTCGAAAGGGTTCATCCTTAGTTGATAACAAACACTCACACCAAGTTTCGTCCAAATCCATCAAGAATTGTGCCTTTTAGAGTGCTTATGGGTCATAAATTGAACGCGCTTTCAA